CTTTCTCTCCACTTTGCAGGCAGATAGATTTAGAAAACAAATGCCGACTAAAGAGCTCTGTGTCCTGGCATCCATTGAAGTATTGTACTTATGGAAAGCCCTTCCAAACTGTTCCCTTTCAAACTTACAGCATATGAGCCAAGGTATAGTATTGTTCCTTGATTTATTTATTTACTTTTTTTAAATGAGGTGTATAATTTTCTTCTGTTGTGTGGAGTAGGTGATTGTTGTAGCATGAAAATTCAAACTTGTGTGTATGTGTCATAACAAAACAGTTTGATTAGCAAAAGAATAATGACCTGTTAAGATTCAACTTAATGCTTCATTTTCACCATTTTTATAGGTTTTTGGGAGAAGTTTAACTGTCTGCTGCATATAGTTGGTTTTTAATCAGTTGCATTTGCCCATTGTTTAAGATGTAACGATAGCATAAGAGTTTATTGTTCAAAGTCACTAAGCAAAATTTAACTCATTTAAACCTAGCTACAAAATAAAAAAACCCCAAAACTAACAATTCATTTCTGCATGTCAGTTTTCTTCTAAGCGGAAATATGTAGCTTGTGAAGTCATCTGTGACATGATAAGAGTTCTGTTTATCTTGACTGCTGGGACCATCTTAGTGGTGAAAGGAGCATTTTATGGTTGTCTCTTTCTGAGTCTCCAGATGTCTTCGGATGTCTGTCACGTGAAGCTGATGGTAGCAGTGTTTATCATTAAGTTTTCAGTACTCCTCCCTCCATCCAGTGATCAGTCTTGTTTGCATTCTGCAAACAATTTCAAGTTATTACCTGCTCATTCAGAAAATAAAACAAAAAGTATCTGCCACCGAGATACTTCCTTTTTTCTGTAATTGTGAAATTTTGGGAGTTGTACACGGATTTTTACGTTAAGCTAGAAAACAACCAGTCTAAGCTGAGAGTCAGGACTAGTTGTGGGGTTTTGTTGTGTTTTTATTTTTAAGATAGTTTGTCTATTTAAGTTGCGTGATGGCAGTGGGTTACATTCAGATCCCTAGTTTTATAGTCCCAAAGATAATGGTGAGGGCTTTAAAATCAGATTTACTTATGAAAAAATAAATTTCAGGATTTGTCTGTCATTTGCCTTCAGAACAATCAGCTTTAGAGGTTTTAAAGAGTATGTACTTCTCTCCCACACACTCAGAAGCAGCGTAGATCTTCCTTGTGTAAGCCAATGGTTCGCTTTAATGTGAAATAGCGGTTACATTAAAATTCAGAGACACGCTTCTTGTAAGAATGACACTGACAGATGTGTCTGCATCAGCGATCCCTGGTTGAAGATTTTCTGCACAATGAGAGTGCTATTGCTGTGCCTTATGTATATCTCAGGAATGAGATGATAGGGGATTTTTATTTATTTATATATTTATTTATTTTATTTGCTTCCTCTTACCTTGACCAATTGGAGTGTAATTTGCTGGGACCAATTTCCAGGCTTTTCCTCAGGGCTACAAGTTGACTTAAAAATAGAGGAATGAATTTGTATCTGCATGTGTCTCTGTAAATAAAATCCCAAGTAACTTGAGACTTGCAATACAAGCGAGAGTTGACAGCTTTGTGTATTGTGTAATGTCCAAATACTTCACACAGCCAACTCTTCGTTATCCGTAGGTGGCATATTTGGGTTGTGGATTAACTGTGTTGTGAATGCAGAGCTAGTTAAGATCTGTCCGGATTGAAGAGATGAGGCAGGATGTAAGGTTATAGGAGCTCTCGGCTCCTTCGGAAAGGATGAAAAGCCATGCAGGCCCCCTGGTACCCTAGCCTTTCTGGAGGCAACGGTGCAGACAAGTGCAACTGGCTCCTCATGGAACTGGCCTTGGTTTGACAGAGCTGGCACTAATAAGCTTCATCAAAATGGACCCTGATTCATCTAGAGACAGTTACGTGCGTGATGATTCAGTTCTTCCTGGAAACACAGCACTGCTCAGCTGAGGCACAGGCTGTCCCTGGATTGTGGACCAGCTAAGGTCTGGCAAACAAACCTTATCGGCTCATCAGCATTGAGACTTGTGATGCTAAAATACCCTAGTCTGGGTTTTTAAGTCCAGTACAGATTTTTGTGTGTCTGTCACTTGGCTTCAGCTCAAAACAAAGCATCTTTGTCTGAACTACTTGCCCTGTGGTCGTTGTAACTTGGACTATGTATTTTTCTTTCAATATTTGGGACAAACCGGTCTCCTGTAACACCAGGAGGAGGTGACTATTTCTTAACTTCCCTTTTTGAGTGGATATTTCAAAGATCAGTAGAGAAATGGATTCTCCTCCTCTTGTGAGAAGAGCACACCAACTGCCTTTGACTTCAGCCCATTCATTCCTGTTAGGAATTGTTCTCATGAGTGACAGATTGCTTGATGAAATTCTTACAAAATGGGTTGTATTTAAGAGAAACCAAGTTACTTTGATTTATATTAATGTCACTAGCATCTCCTTTTTCTTTTAACCATCTTTAACCATCAGACTAAAAGTCCCTGTAGACCACAATTCTTGTCTAAGGAAGGATTTCAATCCATCTTGTTTGTTTACTGGAATCTTTTTATTAAGCTTGTCAGGATGTGGATGATTCATCGGCTGTTGGTTTGAGGAATTTGCTTCTTGGTGCCATACACAAATGCTTAGGAAATTCTGAAGACGCTGTTCAGGTAAGTTGTTAAATGATAACTTATACCATTAATCCCATTTTATGAGCTATTCTGTGAAACTAAATATTGTTGAATAAGAATGTTAAGCAAGCCGTTAGTTTTCAGTGCTATCGATCATTCTGTTTTGTGAATTTCAGCAGTATACGTCAGGTTCTTTTCAGATGTTCTGGCTTAGCAGGTCTTCATTATATTCTGTGTTGTAAAAATAATTGGCTATGTTGAATGAAGATGCCAGCTAAAGTGGCTCGTAGGAGCCAAGAGTTAAGGGAAAGGAAGCTGGGAAGAACAACAGAAAAGTTCTTGCTCTGCTGGATTTACTTTGTCCAACAAAGAAAATTCAACTTAAAAAAACCAAAAGACTTAGTGATTGACCTTTTGAAAGCATAGGTTTGCTGCTTCTCCTCCAGACCTATTAGACACTGAGAAGTTTGATTATTAGCACATACCACGGAATAATTTTGCCATTGCTCCAGGCTTTGATCTGTAGGCACAACTATTTTTTTTCTTCCCAAAACAGAATGCAATTCACATAAGCAACAAGGGAGCTGATTCTGGCTTTAATATTTTTTTTTTCCTACCTTTTCCACCCTCCCCCCACCTTCTCTGAAGCGTGTCTTAAATAATCCACGTACTTCATCTCTGTTTAAGTTCCTTGTTAGACCTAGTATTTTTTTCAATATGAAGTTGGAAAACTCTTGAAACAGTCAATATATTACTTGGTAAAAATCCAAAGAAATAAATTTGCCTCGATACAGTAGTGTTGGTAAAAATATCCAGATCCTTGCTTAAAGAATCTCTACCATTGGAAATTTTTTTTATGGATTCTCATTTTAGCTTTAGGGTAGTTTCTAGTGCTTAAAGTTGAATATACTTCTGGATTTTTTTTAAGTATCAAACAGTCAATTGTAATGTATTACTGCAATCTTTTATTTCTTTTTTTCTTAATTTTTATAGTTCTTTCAGCGAGCTGCGAGAGATGAACTGTGCCGTCAAAACAATTTGTATGTCCAGCCATATGCTTGCTATGAACTTGGCTGTCTTCTGTTAGACAATCCAGAGGTAATAGCACAACCTATTCTTAAACTCTTGAAATTAGGGTGGGAAGTCAACATACTACTATACAAACAATGAAACGAAGTTTATAGGTGATAATGTAAAGTTGTACAATTTTGGTTTATACCTACTGTAAAGAAACTTACTACTTTGGATTTTTGCAAAGCAAGAAATGCGATGCATTTTAGGTTACAACGTCTTAATTTTTCAACATGGAAAGCTATAAGGACGTTCTGAGGAGCTTAGTGTATCTGTCGATAACACTTGTTTTGTTGTTACTGGGTTTTATTTTTACATAAAAAAACAGAGCCTGGGAGTCTCTGGGATTCTTCAGGGCAGTTGTTACATTCCTGACCATTTGTGGTGTCTTTCTCTAGCAGTAAAATGAACATGTCTGCAAACCTACAGCAAGCAGTAAAGCAAGAATTTTGATGAGTGTAGCACCACATTGTTTTGATTATGATTTCGTACTTTACCTCAAAAAGCAGCACCAAGACTTCACTTTTCACCTCTCTGATGATGCCATGATACCCCTTTTTTTTGGTATGTGCTTTACAGAAACACTATGCATAAATACTGGGGTACGGAAATATTTCCATCACCCTTCAAGACGCAAAGACCTCTCTCCCCTTTCTCTTACCTTAGTGTTCCTGCTGCTGGTGGCAGCAGAGACCTGGCAAGATGGCCTTGGGTAGGCAGGGATTTGTTGTCTGCAGGTGATATTTAGTGTGGTGAATGCCTAGGATCCTCCTCTTAACATACATAATTTCCTATTGGATGCTGTTCAAGCTGAAAGTTTACCTGTAGTTACCCTCTCCAAATAGAATTCGATGCCTTCCTAAAATAGCTCCATGTTTTTGGGATCAAACTTACATTTGGAACAATATGGTATTTGTCAAAAGTCTTTTTTACTTTGGGATTATTTATCCCCACTCTTAGGACAGAGATCTTCCTAATCTCTCACATCAGTGCATCTTAGAAACCTAGCTGGACTGAGGGTACGCATACCATTGTACTATTTCATTGCAGGGGATGTGAAAGCAAAGTGATTTTAGTCATTTAAATTCTGTTAAAGCTGTTTGTGTTGGCATTTTGGCTTTGACACCCTGAGTAGTGAGGTTTTTGTTGTTCAGGATGAAGAGGAAAATAATGCACCTGGCTTTCAGACGGTCCAGATGGCGTGGTTGATGATACGTTTAATCGTTCAGGTCTTTGCACATACCCTGCCTCCTATGGAGCCCAGAGAATCTTAAACTAGGGCAAGTTCTGCACTTCTCTTGATCCTGTTTCCCTCCTCAAACATAAAACACCACTACTTGCGGTTGGTGCCACTTTGGGTGGTGCTTCCTGAATCAGATTGCAAGTTAGGGGAAGCATTTACAGGGTAATGACTTGAACCTCCACATCATTGTACGTAGTGTACAAAGTAGTGGGGGCTGATGTGTCTCAGATTCTTAAGATTCTGTTTTCAGTTGTTTTTATGAACCTTCCCCTTAAAGAGGGAAGGGAAGGAAAATCTTTCAATAAGAATGGTTATCGTGACAAAGGACAAAACTAGAAAACACGTTTAAAAAATAATTGTTCTTTTTTGAAAACCCTGTTGCCCTATGACTTAGAACTGGGTCTTGAAGCCTGGTAGGAAGTTCTGAGTCCAGTAATGGTCCTGCTGCCTTTTTTTCCATATTTATATTTAAATTTGATCATGTCAAGTGTCTCTAAGGAAAACAAAACCAAAAAAAAGTGTGATGGGTAGTGAAGTTATCTGAAGGTTTTGAGAATGCAGGCGCAGTCCTTCCTTCCTCCCCGCTTTACTTGTAGTATGTGCACACAGTAACTGAACGGGCGTCGTGTTGGGTGTTTTGAGGACTGAACAAGCCTCGGTTTGTAGCTCTGCTGAGAAGTTGTGGTAGCACTGAGTATGTGAAGGACGTGCAGGAAGCTCCCTCTCGTGGTACTCCCGACAACGAGGAGGTAAACGATGCTTGGCTTGGATAAAGTGGGCTGGGGTGGGGAAAAGCAAGAGCTAGAATTAGGGGTGAGTGGATGCTGTTTATAGAAATTCCATTTACTAGCTGAGGTGTCATGCAGTAGCTCTGTAGTGATTAAGAAAGAGAAGGGAATAGGATTTTATAAATCATATTTACCTGAGAGCTAAGCGTATTGAAGACCTGAGCAACAGATACAGATATGAATATGCATTTTGGTATAAAATGCATGCTGCTATTAAATTTACTTTGCTTTACAATTACTCATAATTGTATGTTTGATTTACCATGTCTTCTGAATCATCTGTGTTATTTTAAACTTAGTTCTAATCAAGTTCTTTAAGATTTTAGTATGGTTACGTGAAGAAGTTTACAGATTTTTTTTTTTTGGTAGATGAATGTAATCTAAGCAATATAAATACATATGTTCAAATTCAGATATATTTGAATAAGAAAACTTAATTTTTCTGTGTATTATCAGACACTTGATTATTTATTTGTAGGGCTTAAAATAAGAATGTATGGTAAGAAATAAAACATGAGCATCTCAGTAGTAAATATTAATCTGCGAATACATATATTTTTCCTTAAGGGTTTGAAATTTAGATTTCTTAAAGAACTTTTAATACGTTAAATCTAGTAGCTTGTTCTGTAAATAAACGGCTTAAACCTTGGTTAAGAAACAAAAATTACGCTATTGATCAATTAGGCATGTATCTGTAGCCTCCTTTGTTTCCCTGTACATTGTTGTAGCTCATAATCATCAACTTAACTTGCATTTAAAGCTGTAATATAGAATCATTATGGTTGGAAGAGAC